GAGCATGCGAATCCCTCATCAGCTGGTAAACGAAGCGGCGCCCGTGGTTCTGGTGCTAGCGATGGCCCTGCTCCTACAAAGGATGAAGCTGCGAAGTCGCCAAAATCGCCAACTGCTCCTGGTATGTAGAGCAGCGGAAATTTTTCATCATATATTTATATTACGCTGCGTATATTATAAATGGGATCCCAAGAGGGAATAGAGAGTTTTGGGTTTTGGGTTTTGGGGGTTTTTTTTTTTTTTTTTTTTTTTTTTTTTTTTTTTTTTTTTTTTTTGGTTGTTCTAACATTTTGAACTGTTGCGGGGACTTAACTTAGCTTCCGATCGCAAACGCTCATCTTGGCTCACGTCCATATTCAACTGAATGTTGGCAGAATCTCCCCGCTGGCACCAAATCTCCCAGTTCCCCCTTGCTCCCCTCCTAACCTCCTCCAATCTAACCCCCAACCCCGACCCGCTGTTTACTTCCTTTGGCACCGAAACGTTATCTTTGAGACGTTTATTGCCCATAGATCGAGCGGGGCCATTACCATGACTGGGTATATCACATTTTACATATTTTAAATTTTCTTCTTCTTTTTATTTTAATCTTGTGCGGTTTTTGATTTTTGGTTTTTGTTAATGCTAATTGAAACACTCGATACCCCGGATAATAAACCTAGAATCCTTAGATGCCGTGTCACAACGCTGCGGCTTTACATAACCCTCCGCCTTTTTCCTCCTTGTTGCTGTTGCTAGCGGTTGTTATCGTGGGAAGTTTTGGTACTCTGACATTTCTTTTTTCCTTATTTGGCCTTCTCGCGTCGAACCCTATGTCCCCATAATCTTTACATTTTATTTGCTTGGATACAGAGCCATGTTTTCTTTTTTTTCTTTTCTTTTTCTTTTCCCTTTTTTTCTTTCCTGCCAATGTTCATTTTCTTTCTTTCCGTTGTTATCGATACCCCAGAGACACTTTCTTATTTACAGTCTGCTTCCCTTTTATCTTCCATCATATATACACTCTCCCAACACCCTACGGCTTATTTCCTAGCTCCTCTTCGTTTGTTCTCCTTTTATTGAATTTTGAAGTCTATTTTTACGGGCGTGTACGAGAAATGCGATAGCTACACCAGCAAACGCAGAGGCTGGCTGGCTGGCTAGGCTTTTGTTGGCTGTGTACCTACCTATACATAGGTAGGTAGGTAGCGTTTATACGAGAAAGGGGGATGGAACGAAGTTTCGATGAAATTTTTATGGTGCCCATTTCCTTTCTTATGACATGTGGACAAATTAGATCAAAAATTTGTCCCCTTCTTTTATATCTATATACTTAATTGTTTATAATTCTCCACGCCTCACCCGTTTTTTCTCCATTCTGTTCTGCAGCTGGAAACGTACTATTCTTAGATGTTTCGATTTTGTTCAATCGTCGTCCGTCGTCCCGGGGATGACACAAGAGGAGAGTGGTGACATTCAGCCGGTGGTATGGATTGGACGCATGCAACGTAGAAAGTACTCATAATATATACATACGCAAGAGGGCTGAGATTTTGGGCTGGTTCTAGACTGATACTTTGCTGTCTGAGAGCGCATTTTCTCGCCTGAGACTGTTGCCAAAAATAATTGACTGCTATGTCAATCTTCTCTCTCTTCGATCAATCGCCATCATTTTCAATTTGCTTTCCCTCGCTACTATTTTTTTTTTTTTTTTTTTTTTTTTTTTGAGACCACGCTTACAGGCTCGAGTGATTTGTACTTGGTTTTGCCAGGTGGAATGGGGATGGACTCTGTATTGGATCAGTGGTACATGTAATGTACATAACATAGCCAAATCTTGGATACAGTTGGTGATGGATCGGATCGGCATGAGAGATAACAAGAAACAAGAAACAAGAAACAAGTAGCAAGTAGCAAGGAAAAAAAAATTGAATAAATAATGGTGAGAAGAGAGTGAATAAATAACTTGAAAATGGCTTTTGATTGAAGCTGTAGGTGGGTGCGACTGGGCGTCGGGAGTGAAACTATTTGTATAACTAAATAGTGAGATCTCAAGTAAATAAACAACCACCTTAATTGAATACAGGAATTTCTGGAATCAGATATTGTATTGTTGACATCCCACTGCCAACAATTCCAACCAACTAAGTTACATGGCTTGCATGGAACTGTGTACAAAGGCGCCAGCACCAGAGCCATTTTGATTTTATTTAAACATCCTCCCTCCTCTTCCGCCATCGCGTCCTAAATAGCTGACCAGAGCAGCGGGGAAGATTGAAGATTGTCCACACGACACGACCACCCATAAATGTACAGTAGTATAGTATGGTGGTGCATAACTAACTACATCTACATTGCATAATATATATATATCTCTCTTCTAAGACATCTCGCTCTTTTTGATTCTCTCACTCTTTGCCAAGGTGCAGAATACACACTCTCACTCCCTATTATAGATATATAAATTATCCCCCGGCCACCGCGAGAATACTATCCCAGTCAGTCCAGTCCCACAGGGCTGAGCTATTAATAACTTTATTTACTTAACTTAGCCATCGGGAACGAACCAATTAGTTCGCTCACAAGGAGGAAGGAACTTGAGCCCTGAATCCCCGATGCGACTTCACCACCCTGCTCCCCGTCCCTTGTCCAACCACTTCCTCGTCCTCCTCCTCTGCGCTACCTTACAACTACTACTACTACTACACCTACTGTTAATATCGCCCGCAAATGCCGCAACGGATATCGCCAATACTAACTATAATAACATCTCCCATGCCACTAGCAGCATCGCACAGGAAAGTCTAGTGAATCGCGATGGGGACATTCAGCGACGACTGGCTGGCCAGTCAATGGCGGGTGTGAGGAAAATGACGGACGACGAGGGGGAGAAGTTTTGGTTGGATTTTTGGTATTTCGATGGCGATGGCGATGGCGATGGCGATGTTGTTGCTAGTGGTGGTGGTGGTGGTGGCGATGGGGGAAATGTAGGACGGAAACAACAGCGTCCTCGCCGTACAGGACGGACGCTGAATGATGAAGATTTTGGCAGATTGACGGGCCGTGGTCTGGGGAATGGCCCTGATAATCATGATGAGGTGGATGTCTGGATGAATACCTCCATAGATCCATCATTATCCCCACCGTTCCCATTGCATGGGAACATGAAATATCAAGAAGACAGAGGGGGCGGAAGAGCAATGTCAGTACCCCTCCTTGGCCGCTCTTTATCGCGGTGGACGGCGAGGGGCCAAGACCTCATATTTGGGAAAAGAAGGTTTAAATGCCCTCTTGATACGGAACCATGCACATACATCAACCGGCCGAATAGCTGTTGTGGAAAGGGGAGCAAATGTGTGTTTGTGAAGGACACGGGATTGGGGGATGTGGGATGCTGCGGGGCGGGAGAGAGCTGTTCGGGCGATTTAAACATGTGTGCGTATGGGTATAGTCCCTGTCCTGATAATCCAGGGGGTGGGTGTTGTATCCCGGGATACTCGTGTGTGGATCAGGGGTGTATGTTTCCTATGCCCATTTCATTTCCTCCTCAGCCTGCTTACATATATATATATTTATATTAACTATCACCTTTATCTATTCCCCCTGAAAAACTAACCAACGAGCCATAGGCATATATATCTCAACAACAACCGTCACGGCAACCCCGCCGCCGCCACCAACACCGCCACCACCATCTACAGAACCAATGGACCCACCCGTCCGCCCAACCTCCAACCCCATAACGACCATCACCGCATCCCCACCTACAACCCCAACCCCAACCCTAACCCCAACCATAATCGGTTGCCCCGTGGGGTTCTACGCCTGCAGCGCCATCTACCACGGCGGCTGCTGCCGAACCGGCCGCGACTGCAACCCCACATCCTGCCCCCCGATCTCCTCAACCACAATCGTGGATGACAACGGCGCCACGGTCGTTATCCCTGTTGATCCTAGTGCATCTGTGACCTTTCCTGGTGGCGACGGGGGGAGGAGGAGGTGTGCAGGGGGCTGGACGAGCTGTGCGGCTAGTGCGGGCGGCGGGTGTTGTCCGGATGGGTTTGTTTGTGAGCAGATTCGTTGTACGATTTCAGCTGAAGGGCGGGGGACGGCGGTGGTGGGGAAGATGGCGCCGGAGAATGGGGCGGGGAGGGTGGTGGTAGTGGCTGGTGGTGGTTGGGTTTATTTGATGATGCGGACTATGGCGATGATGACGATGATGATGACGATGATGTAAGGGGGGGCCAGGGGCCGTGAGTGAGTGGTGCTAATCTGGTAATGTTTCATCTCTGTAATTTTTGGCCTGTCATTGATGGCTTCTCTTGGACCTACTCTTTGGGATGTTTTTGTATACCATTTTGTCTCTTCCTTTAATGATTTTCAAGGACGAGAAAATTGATCCTAGTTTAATGTATTTATAGAATTCTTTTTAGTGGAATGGTAATCTGTGTCTAGCCTTGAATGAATGGGAGATTGAAGTTGAACTGAATCCATGCGCCTATTTGTATTTTTCACCTTTGTATCTCCTTTTTCGTATGCCTATACCCCTCTATATCTATATCTATGTTTTTTGTTGTAAATCCCCTTTCACCATATGAAAAATCGGTAGGTAAAATGTAATACAAAAGAAGAACAAAAAGCACGATGAAAGAGGAAAAAGATAGCAGAGCTATGTTCAAACAAACAAGTGTGTGTGAGAGAGAGAGAGGAAGAGAAAGAAATGATAGAGACAATGTGTTACTCCCATGATCTGAAAAAGACGCAATGATAATGACAGAAAAAGATTTCATGTATCAAACATAAAACGAAATGAGAAGAGCACGATGAAAGAGGAAAAAGATAGCAGAGCTATGTTCAAACAAACAAGTGTGTGTGAGAGAGAGAGAGGAAGAGAAAGAAATGATAGAGACAATGTGTTACTCCCATGATCTGAAAAAGACGCAATGATAATGACAGAAAAAGATTTCATGTATCAAACATAAAACGAAATGAGAAGAAACACCACCAAAGGCAGTGGATTTTTAGAGTTTGCTTTGTTTCTCATTCTTCACCACCGCGTTATTCCATGGGTATGGATCGAACGTGAAGTTGTTGACAGGGTTCTCTTGGCTGGCCCGGTGGAACAGATCCTCGTAGACTTTGCCATCATAGCGGCCCAAGGAGCTGTCAAGCTGCCAGTCCGGGAACTTCCATGCGTCAACGAGCCGGACCGCATGGGGCCTGATCTCGTCAAGGAGTTTGACAACTGCCTTGGTCCGGGCGAGGGTGATTTGACGGATGGTCACAGCACCCGAGGTGAAGAAGTCGGCGGACTCGCGCTCCAAGGTGTACAGAGCATGGAGTCGGAAGAGTTTGTGGAGGACTGCGGTTGTTTCAGGATCCAGGGCGGAGGCCGTGGAGGGCGCAAAGACACTTTCGTAGAAGTTCTTCACGACGAGGTATTGTGAGTGGGCAGTCGAGAGGCGCCAGAAATCGATGAGCAAGCTGTTCCATGAGCGCTTGGCAACGTCACGGTTTTTCAGGGCCTCAAAAGTGAGGTTAGCGGTACGCCAGGCGAAGGCGTCTACGATGTCAGCATCATTGTCAAGGATGTCGAACGCAGCTCCCATGTCTCGGCGGCGAATATAATTCTTGAGAATGCGGCTGGTGTCGTTGTCAGGGGCATTGTTGGCATAGACAGCTCTAGCAGATTTGAGCAGCTGAACGGGAATCTGTTAGTAAATTCCGGTTCTTTTATTGTTGTAGTATTTCCAAAAGAGGGTGAACTTACATATCGTGCTACTTGTTGCGTCAACATGTAGTTGTCACCCTCCCATGTGGGAGTTGGCAGATAATCGGCGTACCATGGACCGATGCCGCTGTAGCTACTATTGGGGAGTGGGTATACGTGCAACACATCAAAAACTTAATTTAACAAACCGGGTGGATCTTACCTATAGCCATGACCACCGCATGCGCGTCGGCATACCTCTAATCCCTCAGCTGCTACGGAACTCCCAAGGGCCTTGAGACCACAGGAGGTGGCGTGGAGATCGGCAAGGAGAAGTGCTCCTGCCTTTGCTGAACCACCGCGGGCCATTTGTCTCTGGTTTTCCTCATACATTTCCATCATTCGCCGTCCAGTAAAATGAAGAGCAAAGGTAGCAGCAAGTAGGGGAAGAAGTCGGATTTGGACCATCTTGTAGTTGAGAACCTGGTTCTCATCGGAAGACTTATCCGTTGTATCACGGTCCTGGAACTGTCTTCGGATAGCGCAATATCTCGTAGCAATCGTTACACCTCGGGCTAGGACCTTGCCCGATTGCAGTACAATTGTAGACCGAACCCAGGTCATTGTACCATAGACCAAAGTAGATGCGGCAGAACGCACGTACTTGTTTGTAATGGGGTCAACATGCGAGAACCGTGCCAACATGTTCACATGTGGAATTTTCACTTGGTTCAGAAGAAGGAATCCATTGTCCATGGTGCTGTGAAATGGTTAGCCATGCCGCGAATGAAGCGCTAGAAGAAATGAAAAAACCATACTTGTAGCCGAACTTAGGTCCAATATCACCAACATAGACTCCTTCAAGAGCCTCATGAGTCTTCAGGTCGCGGATTTGTACGATGAATGGATGAGGGCCGTAGCTCTTGCCCTCAATAATAAGCTGAGCCATCACAACGGCATGATTCGCGGTTTTGCCAAGAGAGCCAATCCACCATTTGGAAGCTGTTAAGCTCGGGGAATGCATAACAAAGGTTCTGTCTGTAGGGTCCCAGGTTGCTGTGGTCTCGAGACCTTGGACGTTAGATCCATGGCCTAGCTCAGTTTGAGCGTAGCAGCCAATGATCTCATAGCGTTCCGCTGGTCTCAGGAACAGCTTTTTTTGCTCTGGTGTGGCTTGATTTCTGAGAGTCACCTATACAAGTTAAGATATAATTAGCGATATTGCTTGATAGGCTCACAGCGACGATTTTACAGGAGGGATTCGTACCAGGAACATGCTTGCGTGGAGTCCGTAAGGAGTGGGCTCGCTCAGAAGGTCATTGGCCATGATGAATTCGTCGTCTGTCCAATTGTGCTGTTCCCTTAATTGTTGGATGCGCTTAGCCTTACCAAGGGATGCTTTTATCCGTTCTACACGGCCCATAGAAAGAATTTGTGATTTATCAAAAACTTTCTCCTTTTCCATGACGGCTAGAATTTTATCCTGTCGGTCCAGCACTTCTTTGGTATGAACCAATTCCGCCAGCTTATTCACGGAGACATTGGAGCGGTCTCGCTCCTGCTGTAGAAGCTCCGAGCCCTGCGGACCGGGAGGGTTCAAAGCCTTTACCCATTCAGGGACGGGTGGCATTTTCAAAGCCGTGTGGGATTTGTTTGGGGGGGGGGGGAGGTGGAATCCGCGGCGGTAAACCACTTGCGCAAAAAGATAGTGAATGAGAGATAGAGAGGGAGATGTGTAGAGCAATGCGGGGAGAGGATGAGAGGATGAAGAAGAAGAGGCAGAGGAAGAGAAGCACACCCGCAATCCTGGGGGGCGAGCGATGGTATCTATAAATGCGTCGAGTCCCTGCGCTGCCGGAACCACTCAAGTGCTCGCCCGAAGAGGAAGTGCCGAGGTCAATATAAACTGGAAGAAATATCGCCGCTCGGAAGGGATTATGTAACTAACTAACCAAACCACATAGGCCACACCGGGGCAATGCGCCGCCAAATAGTAAACCTGCGATTGAAAATAGGTGAAAATTGCCCCGGAAAAGGCCCGCTTGCGTTGGCATGACCCCGGAGATTCATTCTGCGCATGAAGCGCTGTTTCCGCTCCTCGTGAAGTGGAGGGGGCGAATCTGCGTTTCCCACCTTTCAACATTTGGTTGAAGGGGCGGCATTGACTTTCCAAATTATACAGCCTAAGGACCTGAGCTGCGTCAGAGCTGCGGCTCTGAGAACTAGGAATCTAGCCTGGCATGGCACGGAGATTGCCATGGATCTGCTGCTTGGGGCCTTGGGTTCGGCGGCTGGCAGAACACTCTAATAAAAAGCCTATTAATATCTGTGAAATGGGCGCTTTTGTGGCTGCTCAAGCTTCAAGCCTGTGATTTAATAAATAGTTAATAATAAATAATAATAATAACTGACAAACCTCAAACGATTTTCTGTTAAATTCTCACATGTTTACTGCAGAATCCACACGGCCCATGAGATGGAAAAAGTCAAATATTCAAGGGTAAAAATTGCCTCTCACATGCTTCTCTTCATTTTCACTCTGCCAGAAATTCGTCCCTTCACATAACAAGCTTCCCCAACGCACCACGTAGCGAAGAGCACTGGTTAGTGGGCCTTTTCTTCATAATTAATAAGATACTCTGGCCTCGGAATTTTACACCAGTGCCTATGCAAAGTAGGTGAACAGTGACCTCCTGTGATAAGCAGGGGCGTTGATATACGTTCGAATTTCCCATGTGCTACGGTAACATCTCCGAACATCATCAGGAATCAGTCATAGTACACCACCGTAGCAGACAAAATTCCGCGTATGAAAACTCCTTGTGATGGCCGCACCCTTGAGAAAGCTAGCCTAGGGGCTTGTAGAGAGCTTCCGTTCTCGTCCGCGCTCGGTAGAGAGATAACGCTTTTGCCAGCTGCCACGAAAAAAACAACCAACGAAAATAACTCATATAGGAAATATTCTAGTTAATACAATCGTGAAGGAGATCTGATGTCCAATTGTGCCTGGCGGCTGTAGCGCGCTTAGCTCCAACTGCCGAGCGCTAAAATGACCAATCACATCCGCGAAGAAGAAAACATTGCCGACTCACCCATCGTTTCTGCTTCGTTTCTGACGCTGGCTGGCATCATCCTCATTCTCAATACCAACACATATCTACCACAACGTCAATCAATTAGGTTTTGGCTACCGCTTCTTTCACGAGAAAAGTAGGCAGGCCACTACTTGACCCTTTTCCTTGCCATCTCTCTCGCGGCGACATCGTCGTCGCCCACACTCCACTCCATTTCCTCGACATCGGTTCATTGAGACCCCTCCCTCTCGGCCTCGCCGCGTCTAACTTATAGAGCCCGATAATGCCCGCCCGTCCTCCTTCTCTCCCGCTACGGTCTCGCTGCCTCCTCCGATCGCCACAGCCTCGCCAGCCGTTCTCGACGCAGAGCTCGCTCCGTGGTGCTCATGGCGACCACCACTATGACCCGCCAACCGGATGGCTTTGGGGAGTGAAGCCCGGACACAAATACGTCAAGGAGGGATGGGAAGGCCTGTGGACATATGGATTCGTCGGTAGTTTGCTTGTCGCTGGTATCGCGTATTCTTTCAAGCCTGATACTTCGTATGTGTTTCTGCTCCCTATTCCTCCCTTCGGCTATCATAAATACATCGACTTTTCACTTTACAAGTCGTGTCGATATGCGATATGTCCACTCTATGTTGCTGCAATACGGTATGCTAACCGGTGCATGTTTAATCACTCGTTAGGATACAAACGTGGGCTCTCGAAGAAGCTCGAAGGCGACTAGAGAAGGAAGGCATTCTTGAAGACCCCGACGTTGTCCAAAAGAAATAGCCGAATTGTCTACGCCCTAATCCCTATGTATATAGAGCTTCAGTTCAACGTGGGAGGGAAAAAGCAGAAAGAGATAGAGTTGCCCTTCACTATATCAACTATCGGACATTTCACCCGAATTCGTTTTGTGGGGAAAGTGTGAGACGGAGTGGAATTGTTATTTTGTCATTTTCGAGTTAGTTTCTTTACGATGCATGTCTCGGGCATTGCCGCCTTGTCTCTTTTCCTTTAGTTTTCTATTTGCTTTTCCCTATTCTTGGAGGCTTAATCCAAATCCCGTTTCAATTGTCGATATGGGAGGCTGTAGATCAAAGTTTGGGTTTTGGTCGCAGTCCATATCCAGCTTACTAGAACCACCAAGCTGATGTAAAATATCACATCTCTACACACATCTATCTGGATATATGCAAGCCAGAGCATATCTGCATCGAGCTCCGTTTGTTGGCACTAGACAAAAAGAGGAACTTTATCCAAATTCTTAGTGGAACCAGCTACCAAGTGGTATACTGTCTAGTTCATCATAAAATGTTCAACCAGCGTAATAGGGAAGAGCCTATATCTCGGGGTATACATCTATCCTCCTCAGCAAAGGCATCTCCCTCCTCACCTTCTCCAAAAGTTCCAAATCAATATCAGCGACGGCAATTTCCGGCTCTTGCGATAGGCTCCCTCCCCCAAGTTTAGCAACTACCTCACCCCACGGATTTACTATCATTGAATGTCCATAGCTGATTCTCTTGTGGTTGTGGGCACCGGCTTGCGCTGCTGCAATGACATATGCCTGTGTCTCGATGGCTCGTGCCCGCAGTAGAGTCTCCCAGTGTGCCTGGCCGGTTGGCACTGTGAATGCGGATGGGTAGGTTATTATCTGTGCGTTCTGCCTTCTGAGTGATAGACTGATTTCTGGGAAGCGGAGCTGTGTTTATTGTAGTAAGTAGCGGAAGACTAAGTGGGTTTTTGGTGTGGCCAAGCGTGAAAAAGAAAGAGAAGAGGTCATATTGAGCATGGTCGACATACATCAAAGCAAATGCTTAGGCCAACTCTGCCAACTGGGGTATTGAAAGGAGGTAGTATTTCCATCCCTTTCTCGACGCTCCTATTCAGAGGAAGACATAAGTATAGTATTCTTCAAAATGTATGCATATCAAAACTATTTAGTCGGACAGTGTGTACATACCTGCTCTCCTTCAACACAGGGCCATCCATGATATCAACATCAAACAGATGTATTTTCTGATACCTTTGTGTGATCTCTCCCGTTTCATCAATCCATATCAATGTATTCTTCACCTTCTCACCCCCCTGGGCTGGCTCGTGGATACCTACGTTAATTGACACCTTCGATTCTCGAGCTTCCTTCTGTAGGCCGAGAACGAAAGGGCTCTGGTGTACGGATTGTGCGAGCAACACTGTTTCGGCAGGCGATGAGGCTATGTAGTCTGATGCTTCGGGGAGGAATAGTGCCTATATACATATATATATATATATGTACTTGTATTATATTCAATCAGAACTGAGTTCATTGGAATTTCTAGAAACCGTGGTAGGAGATGTGAGGTGGAATATCTGCTGCGCTGTGCTAGGGAAAGCAAGCCTCCGCGCTCAGGCGGCGGTATATTCAGAATCACCTTTGCGCTAGCATTGACTGCCTTTTTAACCAGGATTTGACATCGGGAGAGGTTGTGCGCCAGGTTCCCCGTCGAGCATAGTTGTCCGACAGCCTGTGTATTGAATTAAGTATAAATACCTCATGATGCGAGCAAGGAACGTACAACAATTGTCATAGTTATGAAGTGTTTTAGCCGTCACATATAGATCACTAAAACTATTGCGAACTAAAGAAATATTGTCAATTCATTCAAAAGTTGAATCGTTACCTGAATATCTGCTGCTGGGATCGGATCGGCATCGGTAAACGCTGCCGCGCGGCAGGTAGGCTGCGGCATCACGTGATACCAAAGCGCAACGCGGAAATTAAAATATCGCGAACAGCTTCATCGATCTGGCCCAGCAACCCCACCCTGAAAAATTGAATCTAAACCGTTTGTCGACGTAAGTATTCACATCTTCCGAAATCTTAGCGCATCTTGAAAAAAGCAAAATCCTAATAAATTAAGTAGGGATCGCCTTTGTCTGTTAGACCCCGCTATCGGAGCTCCGGGAACAGCTCTACCTCAGATTTGAATTAGGTCGGTCCGAGTTTCATGAACAGAGTGTGGCTCCCGGATACCGTATGTGAACGGGAGACTGTATAACAATTCTAAGATGAAAAGTTTGCGGAGGGATCACTCTTCGAACCCGCTCGCCTCTAATGTCTCAAGCAAAATCTTCGTGAGATCGACAAAGAGCGGCAAGGTTCAGAAGATTGTTAGGGAGTTATATCTGAGACAAGACATCCCATGTTCTTCGAAGATATGTTCCGTGTGCTTGTCATACGCGCCGACCGATGCCAACGGGAATGGTGAGAGACAGCCTAATTTGCGCGGACCTATGCCCCATCAATGCTAACTAGCCGAAGTTACCCCATTTGTACTATCTGAGCGACCAGCCGGTACGAAGTCATTTCCCCGAGGCCATTATCTAATGCCGGATACGAACGCCCTCCTCAATGGCATGGATCTTTTCGAACAGACGGGTTCATTCTACGATGTGATTATTTTACAGACAGTGCTAGAGGAGCTAAAAAACCAGTCCCTCGCATTATATAACAGACTAATATCCTTAATCCGGAGCGAAGAAAAGCGATATTACCTCTTCTTTAACGAATTTCGGTTGGAAACCCATGTCAGGAGAGGCGCAGAGGAAAGCATAAACGATCGAAATGATAGAGCTGTTCGAACGGCAGCAAAGTGGTACCAGGAACATTTAGGCCAGGTAGTGAAGAGAAACCAAAAGGAGCAGACCGCCCCAGCCATTGCCATGATTACCGATGATAAAGATAATCTCCGCAAAGCAGAACAGGAGGGTGTTACGGCTATGTCGTTGTCTGATTATGTATCTGGCCTCGAGGATTCCGATAGGTTGCTTGATATGATTAACGAAGCTAAGGCCGCCCATGATTCGAGACCGACGAGGGGCGAACTGTTTTACCCCGAGTATTACTCTATGTCGAAACTGATGACCGGTCTTCGTGCGGGGACACTGCACCAGGGCGTTTTCAACGTTTCGCCTTACAACTATCTCGAGGGATCGGTGCAAGTGGCAGCATTTGACAAGTCCCTCCTCATCCTTGGCCGAGACAACAGTAATCGAGCGATCGCGGGAGATATAGTGGTGGTCGAAGTTCTTCCAAGAGATCAATGGAAAGTGCCATCGACGAAAATCATTGATGAGGAGACAGTCACTAAAGATGAAAACGCTGAATATGACGAGAAGGAAGCTGTGGTAACGGAAAAGGAGAGAAGAGCGTTACAGGAAGAGGTTAGGAAAGCGCACGGAAAGACCGCGGAGGGTCGGCCTCAGCCAACAGCCCGTGTGGTGGGAATCGTTAAAAGGAATTGGCGTCAGTATGTTGGAAACATCGATAAAATCTCGTCAGGAACGCAAGAGCAATCTGGCAGACGACAACAAACCGTATTCGTCATACCCATGGATAAACGGATACCTAAAATTAGGATACGTACGAGACAGGCGCGGGAGCTTTTTGGCCAGAGGATACTGATTACAGTTGATGCGTGGGATCGCGATTCCAGATACCCAACAGGTCATTTTGTACGATCTTTAGGAGAGTTGGAAACTAAAGGTGCAGAAACAGAGGCTCTTCTTCTCGAGTATGACGTTCAGTATAGACCGTTCCCACAAATGGTGCTTGACTGTCTTCCTCCCGAAGGTCATAACTGGAAGGTTCCGCAAAATATGGATGACCCCGGTTGGCGTGATCGTAAAGACCTTCGAGATTTACTTGTCTGCAGTATCGATCCTCCAGGCTGCCAGGATATAGATGATGCTCTCCATGCTAGACCTCTCCCTAATGGAAATTTTGAGGTCGGTGTCCATATCGCAGATGTTTCCCATTTCGTGAAGCCGAATACTCCTATGGATACTGAAGCGAGCATGCGAGGCACGACGGTATATCTCGTGGATAAACGTATCGATATGTTACCTATGCTTTTGGGAACTGACCTCTGCTCTCTAAAACCACATGTCCAACGTTATGCCTTCTCCAATATCTGGGAAATGACTCCCTCTGCTGAAGTTGTATCCTCAACTTGTACAAAATCTGTTATTCTCTCCAGAGAAGCTTTCAGCTACGAACAAGCACAATTGCGTATTGACGATAAATCGAAAACGGATGAATTAACGGAGAGCATGAGGACACTTCTCAAACTAGCTAAATTACTCAAACAAAAGCGAATGGACGCGGGAGCCCTTAATCTGGCCTCTCCAGAAGTCCGCATAGAAACCGACTCGGAATTATCAGACCCCATGACAGACGTGAAAACTAAAGCCCTCTTGGACACCAACAGCCTCGTCGAGGAATTTATGCTTCACGCCAACACAACTGTCGCCGCCAAAATCTTCAAATCCTTCCCACAAACCGCCCTGCTTCGTCGGCATGCCACTCCTCCCCCCTCGAATTTTGAAGAACTAATCGCCCAACTCTCCAAAAAGCGCAACATGACCCTCGACGTGTCGAGTTCCCTTGCTCTGGCAACCTCCCTCGACCGCTGTGTTGACCCAGCCAACCCGTTCTTTAACACCCTAGTTCGTATCCTAGCCACCAGATGCATGACATCAGCAGAATACTTCTGCGCAGGAGCCCACGCGGAGTCAGAATTCCGCCACTACGGCCTTGCCTCGACAATTTACACGCATTTCACCTCCCCCATTCGGCGATACGCAGACTTGGTCGTCCACCGCCAACTAGCCGCCGCAATTGGCTACGAAGGACCTGGTGCCTCTCCAGCAGAAGGACTGGCTGCCCGGAGCCGACTAGAGGATATTTGCAAGAATATCAATCATCGCCATCGCAATGCACAGTTTGCTGGCCGTGCCAGTATAGAATACTACGTTGGCCAGGCACTCAAAGCACGTGGCGAACAAGAGGCGTCTAAGCTTGGGACGGGCGAGGGGACGAATGCGGGGATAGATGAGGAAGGGTATGTCATGCGTGTGTTTGATAATGGGGTTGTTGTTTTCGTACCGCGATTTGGTATCGAAGGCGTTGTGAGGTTAGAGGATTTCATCATTCCCGGAAGTCAGCAGGGGGAGAGGAGGCAGGTTGCGGCCAGACGGGAGAGTGAGTTCGATGCGGAGGAATATTCGTTGAAGGTTTGGGAAAGACAGGGCGAGAGCGGAGCTGGGGGGGATGCGAAGAAGAGCGTGGTGGTCGACTTGTTTGACAAAGTTAGGGTAAACGTGAGCTCTGTGAAGGAGGAAGGGGGCCGTGGGGCCGGAAAGAGGAGAGTTAGAGTACTGATTTTGGGCAAAGCTTAGTTTAGACTGGTTCGCCAGGCGTTATAATGGAAAGAGTGGAATTCTGATCGAGAGAGGGAAAAACCGGTTGATCGCAGCGACCTCAGCTCTGTATGCAGGCAATAAACATGCCAATATATACATCATCCTACCCTACAATGATGAAAAAACGAAACTAAAAATAGATAAAGTCTTCATTTTTGAGGTTCCTCTATGCTAATTTTCTAAGTCTTGGTGTTAAATAAACTGAAATAAAAGAGTATGTGTGTACAATCCATATCCTTCTATATTGGATTCCACTTGGTAAGTTATATACTTTTCAAAAAATGCAATGCCATGTACCGTCAAATATACGCCTGAATGAAAAATTAGGTAACAGAAATACTCCTGCTGTCTCTTCATTTCCCCCCGATAAGTAATGACTTGCATGCTAGTAGTAGCAGTAACCAAATATGCCGGCTTGTGTTTTGTGTGGACGGTGGAATGCTCTTACTAGGCGATATCAAACAAGTTCCCAAGCGACCATCCTGCGGAGAAGGAGGGTAGGCTTCCATAAACTCGTTGTATTTGCAGGAACAATAGGACCTGGGGTCGGTGCTGGCGGTGATAGGGTTGGTTGGGTTGGGGCATGAGGTTTCTCTCTAGAAATACAGCTGCCATCTGGGACACCAGCCGTTGGATCATGTGGATTTCCACTAATCTTTAGCCTCCTCGTAGCATTGGCAGCATCTGCGGCCGCGTTTCTCTCTGCAGTAACGATGTTATCGCCAATTTTCCAACCGCGCACGACCCACAGGCACAAGGCGCCAGCGATATATGTGAGTCCTGCGAATAGCTGGGAGTATAAATAAGCTCGATTTTTCTTCGAATCATCCTTCACGACGACTGCGATTGGCTCCGCAACGGTTGTCGGCGGAACCATAAGAACCCAGATGAGACTTAATCCGCTGGGGAGCTGTTGGAGACCAATCACTTCAGCACACACTGGAACAACGGTGGTCCAGAAGGTGCCTGCCACAGTTCCCACTATGATTGCAAAGAAACATAACAGACCCATACTTTGCGTTGGGGTCCAGACCGCTAAGCAGAATACACCGCAGAAAATCGAGATAATGGTGGCCATGTTGAGACGGCCATAGCGATCACTGAGTAAACCAACGACTGGGCGACCCAATCCTTGTCCAAGGTTAAGGACAGCACCAACAATACTGCCCTGATGTGCGGTGAGTCCGATCGATAGCGCAAAGTTGGGGAGACTGAAGAGCACCACGACGTATCCTAGCAAGCTGAAGAAACCCCATGCTTGTAATAGGAGGAATTCAGGCCGCTTGAGCAACGGGAAATGAAATGCTTTGTATTGCGATCCGGTGGCTTTATTTCGGTCTCGGATTAGATTGGCCGCGATGAGATTGACCACAAATGTGATAATACCGAGGATACGAAATGTCCACCCAAGCCCGAATCGCGATATCATGGAGCCCGTGGCTAAAGAATAAGTTAATCCGCCGATACCGGAGCCTGCGGCTGCAATGGAGGTTGCGATGCTTCGTTTGCGGAGAAACCACTGTGATGTAACCCCGACAGATCCAATGAACAAGAAACCCATACCGAACCCGAAACAGACACCCTGGCTCAGAAAGAGTTGCCATTGCTCCTTAGCAAAGGAGGCGCCGATAAATGAAATTGTTTGGATCACAACTCCTACATTAAGAATTGGTCGATTGCCATAAAGGTGAACCAGGTGTGTTACCAAGGGAGCGACCAGGAGGCAACATGACATGCTTAGGCCGCCGGTAAAAGCGTAGGTGATGTCGCTGGCATCGGGGAAGATATCATTGGACAAGTAATATGATAGGAAGACGGCATATGACTATTTGAGAAAACCAGGGAAGGCCATGAGCTGTTTGCTTATCATTTCACTGGCAGAATAGGTCTTACACTATTGACACCCCATGTGTTTCCGTTAATCCAAGCTGAGCATGCCACGCACACCCATCCATAACCACCATCTGGCGGGACATCCTCAGGGGGCTTCTCGTCTACCCATTCGTCGGATTGTTGGCTGATATCGTTTTCTGGAATCCTTTCCGCTGACAGTCCTTTCTCTCTGGAAGTTGGCTCTATAGCGGCCCGATGCAAGTCATTCTCAACCGCAATCTCTTTCGAGGAATCATTGGCCATGTCTGTATCAAGGCATATCCCGGATAGGGAAATTAAGGTGGATGCTCAAGCACCTAGAATTTCAAAACGCCAAGGTTTAATTTAAGATGTGCTTCAATGTCATGAAGGACTGACGGTCTTCTGGTGTGAAAATGATGAAGGATGAATGAGCCCAGGAACAGGTAAAAGTAAGAGTTCTATGGGGAAAATTAGTTTGACTCATATATATCCTGCAGATCAACCTTTGTATGAGGAAATATTGCTGGGTATTATAGGAAAATAGCCGCCCTAATTCAAGACAAAGTCCAGCGCAACCAGGAAGGGCGGAAAGGAAAATATCAAAATGGTCAGGTTTCATCATAGCCGCGCCTGAAAATGAGTGATTTTCGCGGTGCCTAGGCTAATGGAGAACCCTCCCGACTTTGATGAGAGCCATACTATCGATTATTTAGCTTGAGAGGGTTCAAGCTGGTAGAAAAGCCCGAATTCTGACTAAATATTTGTCGCGATGTGGGGTATTGGCAGGGTTCGCCGGCTCCATGAGCCAGTCGATACCAAGCAATCATGCTAACAATAGTAAGCAAGCACCGAGAGTTCAGGCCATCTTTCATTCCGGGCGGGAAGAATTTGGGTTTGGGTTACCGACTGCCGATTGCGGGGAAAGCCAGACCAGGGACCGAGCGCAGTCGAGATCATATTTATTTGGCGTTTCGTTGCGACTTTGCGACTTTGCAACTTTGTGGGCGGGATAGATCAAAACGAAAATAATGAAACAGAAGTGATCCATCCTCCGTATTTGAATGGTGGGTCTTCTGCTGTGCAGCCCTTGAACCCGACGAGATGATCGATCTCTTTGACTTGACCCTTGATTCCAGGACGTCTTCTGGATGACGGGTAGTTTGAGCTTGTCTATAAACCAAGCAGTTGCTGCTGGGCTACACTCGCCACTTGTTGACACACAAACACCGTTTGCAGCGAGGCGGAAGCCGAAGAATTGAGGATTTCCATATCGCTGCTGCGTTGAGGCGAGATCTGTAAAGGTCTGTAAGATATGAATTTATATAAACTCAACTGTGCATTTTCCAAACCATACTCAACCAACGATCCCAAAACTGGTATGAAATGGACTTGCTATCCTCTCAATTGATAAAGAGTCTACTGGCGGCCTTTGCTGAAATTCAAGAAGTTCATGATTCTCAACTGAGGAGGGTGTTTCTTTCAAAGCTGGCAAGCTCATTAGCCGGGTGGGTGCGCTCATATTTGATATGCGGCACCATAATCATTTTCGGGATGCCCCCAGAATTGGAAAGCAAAAGAGATTGAAAGTTGTCCTGCTTGGAATTCCGAGTTCTTGAGATGAATTCTTCATTAGCTGATGTTCCATGAGCAAGGTGCTTTCTGGTTGTTTTTAAGTTCAAGAGGACAAGCCACATCCATTACATGGCGCTCCGGAATTTACACGCGTACTAATAATAACCTTTGAACACAACTATGAACTCCAAAAGCGCCATGTGAGAAGTTTTCATAAATGGCAGAATTCAATCTACAGCTTTTTTACCAAGGAGCCAATTTCAAAACGAAAGAATTCCTGCTGCCAGAAACAGCCCGAAAACAGCTGAATCGGGTATTTAGGGCTTGGGGAAGACGCCAAGACTCACGTGGGCGCTGCGTTGTCCAAGCGACGGATCACGTGACGTATGACATGGCATTTGTTGATACGATGCCCGAAAGAGGGAATCTTGACGCCCGGGCAGAAACGTGGATTGCTTGCTTGCCACGGAATTTAGGAAGACAGCGGAGGGTGAGACACATAAATACGGTCATCTTGCCCGTCTTCTAATGCTCCTACAGCTATATCACCATAGAATTATCAAGTGTTGTCAATAAACACTGCTAAACCTCCGTGTCAACAAATACTATAAACTAGTTATTGCTCTAAACTCCTATTTATAAAAGCTCAGCTCTAGGTCCAAACCACCAAACAACCGTATACAAAGCCACCATTACAGCTTCCATAGTCCACGATATTACTGATGACCCCATAACCTGATCTCGTCATATTCAGGGTAACCCTCAGTGAACTCATCTAGCAGCTATGATTCACAGTGCTTCACGATCCAAAAATGGGACCCGGAAGGTGTCCCCTCCAGGACCAAGCTACATGAACGAGGAACAGATTGGTCGGTATCCCTTCATTTCCCCTCCCCTCCTGTACCTAGCTTACCATAACTATGGAGGGTTCGTCCCGTACGAGATTGTGGCTGTTTATATCTTTGCATGTCTTCTATGCTTCAGACAAGGAGCTACCTAGCCAATGAGTACTGACCCGTTTCTCCCCATAGCAACATACCTAAAGGACCTGCGTACAAATAGACCCCCCCGCCCTAATGGATCTCGACCATTACCTACAAAGAATGACTCGTTGAGCCAAAGACTCAGGAGTGATATACCACCCCGTGCATCGTCAGCACTTTCTATGAACGCGAACTCAGAAAGCCATCTTCTTTCCTCCATCGAGCCCTATCAGCGCTCAAGAAGTGCTCTATCGCACCACAGAACAACCTCAGGACTTTCCCATGGAAGTGGATCCACTGGGCAGTCGTCAGAAGAAGATCTAGAACAAGCATATGATTTATCAAGAAGCCTTTCTCCAACCGCGAGTATTAGGTCGACGACGGGAACATACAAAGTACGGAGCCAGAGATGGATAGAACAAGAGGAAGCACGGTCGTTACGGCAAGCTTTAGAAGAAATGGATTTTCTAGATGAGGAAAAGCGATTGCATGCTGCAGCCCAGGAGGAGGCTACACAATTGGTACTGAGCCACCAGACCTCTGGCTTTCCGAAGCTTAATCCACATGCTGCCTACCGGAACCCCGACCTTAATGGCACCCATCGATTCCGTCAACATTTGAAGAAGGGGCCTCATGGAAGTGTTTCTTCGTCAGGAGGTTACAGATCTGCATCAGATAGTTCATCGAATGGGAGTCGTACAGGCAGGGAAAGCCCTGAATTCCAAAGGCGAGGAGATCCCACAGGAACCCATGTTCCACCGAAAATCGTTGAGGTTCCTGAGGATAATGAAACTATCTTTATCACGAAAAATGGAACCCTGCGACAAAAGCCTAACGTTAACTTTGCAGTGGCCCGGGAGGATTCCAATTCCCCCAAGACAGTTGCACGGAGGAAAGTCAGTCCGCGGACGAGAATTGCCAGCAACGATTCAGCGAAGGGCATCTTCCGAAATCCAGAGGATCAAATATATGAGGAACCACAGGAGGACGGAGCTCTAAATAACGCTGAGACCACACACTCCGCACTGCCAAGCTCAGCTTTGAAAGTTAAGCCTCGAAATTCATTGCCTCGAGGTGCCCGGCCTTTTCCTAGGAAATTAGTTCCGGAAGAGAAGAAATCTGTGTTAGACATTCATAGGAATCCGCCGTCGCAATCGAGGAACCCTCTTTATACAGAAAATCCATCTCCCTCCCCCTCTGCCACTAGTGGCACAAATGGTGAGGATACTAAAGATGGTAAAGAAATCCGCAGCGACGACATTCGTGCAGCCACGAGCATGCGACGCAAGGATCGCAGTACCAAGCTACCTATGCCCACTGCTGTTAGCGATCGTCCTGGCCGCCCAATCGTGAGCTTCGACCCGTCTTGGAGAGATAAATCGCAGAGCAATTCTCCCAGAGATTCTCCACGAAATAGTCTTAGGGGATCTATAAAGGAGCCAACCGTGGAGGTTACACCCCCTGCCGTGGGTGCGGTACCTACTATCAACCTTCCGGACGAGCCCTCGGTTCCAGCCATCAATATTTGTGGAGACGATTCAGCAGCACCCACTGTCTCGTCCTCCGCACCACCGACAATTTCTGAGATGAAGGCTGCGGAGCAAAAGCCCCGACCACTACCAAACCCGGAAATCAGCCAAAATAGAAAGCAGAACTCCATAAACTCGAGAGGTTCGTCTACTAACCGCTGGTACACACCTTATACCCGAACTGGCGTTCCGACCGCATCGTGCACAGCTTGTGGGCTATCCATAGCCGGCCGCATAGTAACAGCCTGCGAATCCCGTTTCCACCCCGAATGCTTCACGTGCTATCACTGCCAGACCCCACTTGAATGTGTCGCTTTCTACCAGGAACCCGAAGATAAACGAGCAGAAAGGTTAGCGGACGCTGAATCTAACGACGAAGGAGCCAATGACAAACGATTTTACTGTCATCTAGATTTCCACGAGCTTTTCAGCCCAAGGTGCAAGAGCTGCAAGACGCCTATAGAAGGCGAAGTTGTCGTCGCGTGCGGGGCGGAGTGGCATGTCGGTCACTTCTTCTGCGCTGAATGCGGTGACCCCTTCACGCCGACTACCCCTTTCGTGGAGAAAGCTGGGTACGCGTGGTGCGTCGGTTGTCATTCTAAACGTACCGCCTCCCGCTGTCAGGGGTGCAAGCAGCCGGTGCTCGACGATGTTGTGGTTACCGCTCTCGGTGGCCAATGGCATGAGAAGTGCTTTGTGTGCAGCGAGTGCAGTGGCAGTTTCGGTTCTGAAGGGCGCTTTTTTGTCAGGGAAGCGGAACAGAGATTCACGAGAAAGGGACGTCCGATTATTGGCCCTATTGAAACCGCTGTTTGCGAAGCTTGCGAGGGACGAAGGCTGAAAGCTTGATTAATTTTTGGGATATTTGGGTTCAATATATCTCTTCAACTTCTATTGCGGAATACAAAAACTTTGGCTCAAAAGGTCATGGTGGCCCTGTGTACGGCATTTTTTGGACATTGATCGCCCTGTTTTGCTACCGAAGCCGTGCACTATGTGGAACAGTATTGCTATTAAACAATATGGTTTCGAGTTTGCCCCGAATCGATACGGATTGTCAGTAGCTCTCTTCGGACGAATGTGATGAAGTAGTATTGCGTTTATTGTGAGCGTTGCTTTTAGGTATTTTCGGTTTTCTCAATTTTTATCGTCTGCGTTATGGTTCCCCTTCAGGGGCTCCCGTGCTTATCATTATTCTTGCTTGCCGTTTTGTGAACCTGAACTCATTTTGGGGTATGGAAGCATAATAGAGTAGGTTGTGTCTGCGAGTGGGGATTTTAATTTTGATTGAAATAGTTTTGGGAGCTTTGTCGGAGTTTTATGCTATTTATTTAGCATCGCTAGCTCTTGTGTATTTGCTCGTTCTCCTGAGAGTTTGTATTTGAAAATTCGATTTCTAATACGTTTGTCCTTGACGTTGCTTATTTCGACGGGATTGAATTGTTAGGAGGGGCTGTCGTTTCGAGTACTGCGGTTGCAGCCATCCAAACCCCGAGGTGCTTTGGGAGGAGAGCCGGTCCATGCTGGCGGATGACCGGTGACAAACTCGGAGTAGTGATTTGACTTGTAAAATTCGAAGATTGCTTTCCACGTTTCGGAATGGCCCCTTAGAACAACGCATCTTCAAATTTCAAATGTATATATAACGGCTAGTGAGGAGCTTGATCTGATCTGTTCATGGCCACTGTGGATCTTCCTTTCGCCTCCATACTGCGACGAACTTCTTTCCCTTATTTCTTGTGACCTTCTTCCCCTCCTCCGTCTCCTCCATCATAACCTTAACACACGGGTCCCGCTCCAGCTCCTCATCCCCAACCCGCTCAAACAGCTCCTTTACAGTATTTATCCCCCCTTCTTCTCCCGCCTCCTCCTCACCACCCCCAACATCAAAATGGCTAACCATCCACCGATGCAACTCCTCCACATCAGTGATGGTGTACAACTTCCCACCAGGCCGGAGAACATATGCATACTCCGCGTTTAACGATGACGATACAATGCGCGCCTTGTGCTTGCGGGTTTTGAAATGTGGATCTGGGAAGCAGATGAAAATGGAAGAGAGCTGGCGGTGGGCGAAGAAGTTCGGGAGGAATTTCATGGTGTTCGTGCGGATAGCGGAGATATTTTGGTAGCTGGCTTGCGACGACTGTGAGAACGAGGAGGGGGCTGGCGATAGTGACTGCGATTGGGATTGCGATGGTGAAACAGCAGAAGCAGCTGTTGGTGGAGGTGTGGATGGTGAGTTAGGGCTGGGAAGGGGAGGTGCGGGTCGTTGTGCACGGAGAGCGCGAATGCGATCCGTCACATAGTCGAGGACTTGAGACCGGAGCTCCATACCTGTGTTACCACGGTTAGGTCTACATGTTTGCCAAACCTGTTTCCTGTTTCCATTGGGAAACGAGCTACTTACCAACCATCAGCGTATCTGGCATTAAGGGCGCTAGGGCGACTAATAATCCCCCAAACCCGCATCCAATATCCGCTATCTCCACATTTTTTGTTAAGCACCGTGCACCACTCAGGTTTACATTGTCCGGATTTGGGTCTACAAACGCAGGGTAATGCGTCGACCAATCCATATGTGCTGGGCTGATTGGGCTAGACAGAAAGATCAGACAAGTCAGCTTCCTGCCGTATTTCTGCAGTTTGTAATTCGGAGAAGTTTGGTAGACTACTTACTATGATAATCTATGATCTGAGAACGGGTTCGCATGGGCGCGCTGCCGATATAGCCTTTTCTTAGGGAGGTGGACTTCGCCGCTCTGAATCTGTTGCTCTTGAGTTTTGCGGTACTCGCTGCGCCTCTGGCGCTTAGTAGGTGGAGTAGATGTCATTCCCAGTCTTATTTCTGTGTTTTATCTGGGTGTTTCTGTATATTCCGAAAGGGCTTTTGTTCCCCGCAAACACGCAACAAGGCTGCGGCGGGGCGGAGAAAGAGTATTTTTCTTTTCTTTTTTTGGATGAAAAGGACCTGCCGCTAATCGTCGCATAAATTGGATAATTATATCACCTTGAAAATATATGTAGCTTCTGAGATATATTAGAATCGCGGCAAATCAAACCAATTGGTCCAGGCCATTGCATCCAGCCCGACTATAGTTTCTCATCGGTGTTTATTCTTGTGCGCTGAGTTTTGAAGTTCTTCTGTCCGAATCTGGGCATCACGTGGTGATTATATTATTTATCTTATCAGATCTGTGTCAGACCAGACGCGTATCCAACGGCGCCTGATTTTCTCCTCACATACCCTCAATGCATTCGGGGCCACTGGATCCAGATACGATCTTTATAAACAAGCCTGTTTGATACCTAAATACTAGCCGCACGAAGTTCCCCTCTTTGGCAATCCGATTCCGACTCCCGACTAAGAACCCATTTCCAATTCGCCGCCATTCCCCGATGTGTCGAGTTTGACTATGTCCACTTCCACTCCGCCCCCTCCCTCCAGCGGAGCTCCCACACCTCCTGTCCTCCTCCCAACTTCTACCGGCGGCTCAACGACAAACCATATATCTCCCTCTATCATCCAGTCTCCATCCCTATCCACACCCGCACCGGCAGGCGCATCCCAGACCACACCAACATCCCCCTTCAAGTTCCCCGCAACCTATTCCTTCCCACCCTTCTTCACCCTCCAACCAAACACCACAACCCGCCTTTCACAGTTCCAAAAATGGTCCACGCTAATCCAGGCCTGGTGTCGTCATCATCGCATCTACCGTCTCTCGCTCATAGATGCCGTTGACTCTCCACTCTTCCATAACGCGGAGCTGCGTAAGCGGCTTAGTCTGGCAGATGCAAGGACTGTTGTTGATTGGATGGTTCGTGGGGAGGGAGGCGGACGGAGGGCGGAGTGGGTTGGTGGAGAGTCTGGGGGAAAGGCCGTAGCGTGGATCTGGTGGAGGACACCTGAGGAATGGGCTGGGGTTTTGGCGGATTGGGTAAGTTTCCTTTTTTGCTTTCTTTTTTGGTTTCTTTTTCTTTTTCTTTTTGGTCTTGTCTACCCTAGAACCCGTTAGGGGATTTTGTTTGCTGATTACATGATATTACTTCTAGGCGGAAGAAACTGCGCAGAAAAATACCGTGCTTACGCTCTATGAGCTGGCGGAAGGGGAAGCCACTATTTCGCAAGGTTTGTTGTGCTGTTTTCTGTTTTTATATATAAACCTAACCCGGCCCTTTCGGAGCACATCGGTGAGCATGCTCAAGCTTATGTATGTGAAATTTTCTAGAATTCCACGGCATGGATCCCGACGTTCTAGCAAGGTCCCTTAACGTTCTGGTCAAGAGGGGCAAAGCTCAGGTATTCGGCAGCGAGGATTCACAGGGGGTGAAATTTTTCTGAGAACCGCGCGGGTGAACAAAAAGGAGATATGGAGCGTGAGCTGGGTTACTAGAAAAACAAAGAGAAAGAATGTAAGTTGAAGTTAGATAACAAGCCTCAGGAAGAAAGCCTGGCCCGATCAGAATGCCGCCATCGCCTTCGATGCAAACCATAACCAACGAAAACGCCCTGTCACGCCGGGTAAAATATGTACATGGCCATACAAACCACCATATCAACATTGTGCCACATACATTATCAAAGTTATGCAAAGCTACGCGTCAGCCATCTGAATATCTTCTTCTTTCAGTTCTAGAGAATCATTCCACCGCCATTCCTGCGCCATGGCAATATTCAATAGCCAATCCGGCTGAACGATCTTGGGAATTTTCTTCGCATTCAACACCATATTCCTGAACTTCGGCCATAACCGCACATGGCTCTTTTCAGTGCCGCTGATGAGATATATTTCATCAAAACTTGGAGCCCCATCATTCCCCCTATTTTCATCACTACTGCGACGTCGATTTGGCAGTGTGATGCCAGATCGACCACGGAACAGGAGACATTGGCCCCCATTGGTTTCGACGATGGATTTAAATGCTTCAAAGCCGCCAGTAATGGTTTCAACGCAGTATAGTATCCTGCCATCGAGCAGTTGGTTTTTGTTTTCAAGCGCATTGAGCCTAGCTTTGTCCAGTGAGAGGTTGTATTTGCCCTCAGACTCAGGGTCACGTAAAAGGAAGTCGTTCGGGTTCAGTAGTTGGTTCTGCTCAAGGCACGCATTCACAAAATCCGTGTGGAGGATTATAGGTGCATAGGCAATGGCGTTGACGAATTTATGCGTACGTAAGACGGATGGGGCCGCTAGATGTGTGCATTTGTTGGCATCTTGGACGACCTGGATACCTAACTTGCGTAGGAGGCGCTATACAATTTCCAAGGGTTAGCTGAAAACAAAGGCCCCTTATAATTCAAAATAGCACCTCAACGGCATCGGAAGGAATAATGTCACCAACCCTGTCTGACTCCTCCAATTTCAAATCCCCAACCCATTTTTGAAAGCCAGTGAGCAAAAGATGCATAACAATAGGGACTTGCGCCTGCTTCGACTTTTTGGCACCATTTGTATCTTCAATATCTGTTTCGTCTTCTGGATCCATCGACCTCTTGCGAGAAGAAGCTCTCTCGTTTGGGTCACTTCTCCTTCGACCACCGTAAATAACTCCGCCCACACGTTTCCTTTCTTTTTCGTATAGCGCGATGTCGGGGGCAATTTCTTGTAATCGTGCAGCGGCTACGTCTTTGGATTTTCTACTTCCCGTCGTTGAAGGGGTAGCGTTCTCCTTGCCCTCCGCGATAAATCTGGAAATCTGTGGGGTTTGAAGATGCGAATCCTTAGATTTAGCTAAAGACTTGTTGGGTTTGGGTACTTTAGGCGTTCCTTCCGCCGGAGCTGGTAGATGGGCTGGTTTTCCCTTGGTAGGTTCTGAAATATGTGTATTGTGATTGCTTGGAAAATTGTTATTTTTCGGGCGCATGACTGCAGAGGGAGATTTCCACTCGGGAACCGCAGCATCTTGGTGTCCCCAAAAATGTTCTTCAATGGCAAACCGATCGATTTTAGTTTGGCCAACGATTTCTCCCAGGTTGGTCCGGTGCGGGAAATGGGTGTAGCGGGGGTCGGTAATGGTTTGGAGCTGCCACCTAGCATAGCTCTCTTCGAGCCAGAGGTGATTGATAATATGGATATTCCACTCCTTGGCTGCGGTGCATTTTTCACTTGTACCATGCGCCGTGATAAGATGGGTATTGTCCTGTTTTAACGTTTTCGTGCACTCAGCGCCGGCAGCGACGATTAAATTTTCCAGGTATATACGTGCTTCCCCCGCGTAATTTGACAAGCTGATCTTGAATCCTTTAAAGCCCGGGATTCCATGTCTAGCGAGTGGATAGTGGAGCAGCCGCCGTAATGGAGAGATCCATGAATTATGGGTGATAAGATGGAAGAGCCAAGATAAGTTCCCGACGTCCTTGCCCAGTCTTGATGCCGACCTGTACTCTTCCCCTTCGCGGTAGCGGCAAATGTATAGGTCGGTATCCCGGACATTGCTTGTCACATGGCCGCCGCTTTTTACGATCAGGTCTACAAGAGACTTATGAAGGCGTGCAGCAATCGCCAGGTCTTCCGACAACATCACGGTCTTTCCCTCAAAAACATTTAAATCGCTCCGGACCTCCTCACGCAGTGATTCAGGAGACAGAACCTTTGGCTCTGGTGTTGATGCGCCAATGATACTTTTATTTTCGGTGATTCGGACAGGCGCGTCATGACGCAATCGAAGGATCTCCGGATCTGGTAGCAAATAAGGACGTTCGTCGATTCTCTTCCCTAGTTTAAGACAATCATCAAACCTGGTGAAGGGCGTTAGATAATCCTCATTAATATGGACAATGGAGTTGAAGGGGAAAAAAAAAGTCAAGTACCAATGGGGAAGAACTATTTTGATGTCTAGGCCTCTGTTTAAAAGACTGACGCATTTGTCAGAGTCCAGCGTCAAGGCCACCAGATGAGTTGTAGTGCGCGTAATTTTGGAGCTGCATAATCCTCCCATCGCCACTACCCCTCCGAAAATGGCATCCTGATCACCCTCAGGAATATCCACGCATGCGACAACAACGTCGTTTAGGAATAATCTCGGATCAGGATTATAGTGTCTGGGGTTGACGAGCTTGTTTTTCGAAATTGACGCATTCACCCATTGGGGTTTAACCACCGGTACCAACGCGTCGCAAGCCGCATCATGGCCAGGGAAGTCGATGGTGGAGGACACGACATGAGTAAATTCATGAACCCGGGGTAACGACGCTGGTAATCGGTGGAGAGTGACTTCACCTCCATGATTCTGGATAGCAGTTGAAAGCTGAACCGATGTTAGTGAACTTGCGACGAGGGAAGGAAATATATGGTTCATTTACCTGGGCGGTATCATCAACTTCGTTTGAGTTCGGGCAGATAATACAAATTCTGCACTGAGAGAACAATTTCGGATCGTCTTGTAGTTGCCCATCCGCCATATTTGTTAATTCATCAGGTCAAAAGGCCTTTGGCACGGAGAACAAGATATCGCAAAAGAGAGGGAGTTGTTAGGTACTGAGGACGCGAGCGTTGGTTGGAACGCGACGCCAAATCACATGACATCATTCTCACCTCCTACTCGCCTCTTAGACTTACTAATTAAGTTAACTCTCCGAGCTTACTTCTACGGCAGTCTATAGTGACAAATGTGTCAAATGACAATGTTTTTTTAGTGTAAAGGCTTAATTCCACATAATACTGATTTTATAATCACACACCAATTGCACTAGTCCTAATGTAGTTATGTAGTTAGTATATTACTACATATGGTTTAGTCAGTCTTGACTTTCAGACTGTGCTTCTCTTGAGTGTATAGAGCCCTCTCCCGCTGCATTGGACTCTAAGGTATATAGATAAGAGTTTCCCTGTGTATAGAGCCCCTGAGTATAGAGACCCGCATAGAGACCCCTGGATATATTCCTCTGAAGACTCCGAGTATATGCGTAGAAACCGGCCCACTGATGTGAGTCATTATTTCATACAACTTTCAATGAAGAGATCTTGATTGCTAATACAATCAGTATCATTCATGTGTGCTCATTGTAACACTAGTATAAAATACCCCATTTGACATTTGTCACTACTCCGTATAGACTGCCGTAACTTCTCTGCTATGAGTTCTGGTTTGCAAGCCTTTTCTTTGCATTCTAGTGACTGTTAGATCTTTCACGCAGCGTCAAGGAATCCCGTTTTTACCCACGCTCCCACAAATTTCAAATTAACAGGTCCAATCTGAGATCTTGAATTTATATCTATGGGTTTGCGATATAATGCATTGTTTATAACATTACGAGCAAGTTGGATATTAAAAGGTATAAAAATAATTAAAAAAAAAAAAAAAAAAATTCAGAGTAGCATATTCCGCCAGGGTGAATGTATTTCATTTTTTCCCCTCTCAACTCAAACGCCTTCACGGGCAAGGACAGCCCTATATCTGATCTTGCCTTCTCGGAGATTCTTCATAGCCTCCTCTGCGCCAGCCACGGTCAACGGGAACTGCATCGTGGTGGGTTTGATGCCCTTTGCTGCACAAAGCTGCAGTAATTTATGCATGTTGCGGCGTGACGAAACCAGCGACCCTTGAATGCGAATTCCATTGTGAAGTACAGGGAACAAGGGAATAGAGGATGGGTTCATGTTGACTGTGATTGGGTATATGGACCCTTGTTTGTCCATCAACGGGATGAGCCTAGATTAAGGCTCGTTAGCGATGTTCAAATCAAACTGTTGTAACTGAGAGGAGCGTGAAAGGCAGTCATACGAGTTGAAGTCAACCCCAGCACTCCCACAGAGCAGCAGGTGCTTCAAGGGCTTCATGCTCTCCAGGGTCTGGCCTGAACGGAACACATGGTACTCGCTGGCACCGTAGTCTATAGCTTCCTGTCTCTTTGCTTCGCTACTCGACAAAACTACCACATGGCTACCAATGGCCGCAGCGAGCTTGATAGCCAAGTGTCCAAGGCCACCAACACCAAGGATCCCAACACGGTCTCCTGGCCGTACCCCATATTCGGCCAAAATTGTCCAGACCGTTCCTCCAGCACACATTAAGGGAGCGGCATCAACTGAGTCAATACCATCGGGTATGCGAAAGACGAGGTCAGCGTTCCAGACAGCGCCATTAGCAAAGGACCCGATATCTAAATTAGCGCTGCCGTATTCCTTTTTATTCTCGCAGTATTGGTCCCAACCTGATCACCACACCCCTAGTTAGAGAAATATTGGCCAGTCGAATCATCGGGAGCAACTCCTTAAGCACTGATCTCACCTGCCAAACAACTTGGGCAAAGCCCGCAGACTTCGTGGAAGTATCCGATACCAACTCGATCTCCGACGTCGACATTGGTGACTCCAGATCCGGCCTCTCTCACAATCCCGATTCCTTCGTGGCCCAGAACCTGGTCTACATGCCTGTAATGCTCATCTGTGCCACACACCCCGGAGTGTGTTATCTCGATATAGACCTGATTTGGCTGCAAAGACCGAGTTGTCTTGGCTGCGACAAGCCTCCCGTCTTTGGCGCCTTTGATCACGTCGAAAGTGAAGCTCATTTTTGTAGATCGCTGCTTATGGCCCTGAGGGATAAGGTAGTAGTTGGCTCTGTGAGATATAGATTGAGTATACGAGGATGGGGAGGGGATCAATTGGTTTGAAGAAGACTAAAGTAGAACACGTTGTTTACACTGAATAGCAGTTTTCTTTCCGTCCAGCTCAGGCTCTCCATCCCCATATATACCCCGTCTACAGAACTACGACGGGATAGAAGCAGAGAAATCCATGGAACCGCGCCATTCAGCACAGCAACTCACCCAGCGCAGTTAGGCACACGAGATACGAACAGACATTATCTAATGGTCCATGATAGGAGATACTCCGCCGAAGCAAAGTGGACTTTCATTTAGCAGAGAGCTATTCCGACTGGCAAGTGGTAATGCCTAGGTGCCTGTGACTAACCTCGACACAGTAGCCATGGATGACTTAGCATTGGCAGGGTGCCAGGTTTCATGCTTCGAGCTGACCAACAGCCACTTGGGCGCGTAGAACAGAACATGGAGGTTTGGCATGCCGGAGCTACTCCATTTGGTAATTCCTCCCCAGCGAGTTGAAGTCGAAACCTGAGAAATGCATTGCCATTACAAATCTCAGCATTGCTTCTCCATGTAAGGAGGTTTCAAGTAATGTGTTTTATTATATCTAGCTAGCAGCAACTAATGCTAACTACTCCGTACAGTGCAGTGCGGAGCATGAATAAGTTTTAGTCCCCCCCTGCCCGCCGAGATCATACTAACTACATAACGTTAATATCCCAACTATATAGCCCGTGTGGGTGGGTCACATGGGATAGGGCTTGGGTAGTAACCTCCGACACATAACGTACGTCACCAACACCATTCAACCGGAGTCCTCGGAGTTCGAGCTACGAGTTCTACAAGATGCTAATACACGGCATCATCCCTTCGGTCCCGTAAACCGGGGGGGGGATGAGAGCAGAACCCCATAGAACAACCTAGTGACAAGCTGAAGGAGTTAAGGAGTTAAGTGAATTAACGTTAAACCCAAACATGGCCGTATATCGATGGAATGTTGTTGTTCGGACTTGGAAGGCCTCCGAAAGATCCTCGCCATCTACATCAGGTTTGGGATCCGGCTCCGATGAGGACCCTCTATATAAAGTAGCAATGCGCATCATCACAAAACTTGAATAGTATCCAACAATCAATAAAGTCTCCCTCTTTAGCAACCAAATAAAACCCTTTGCAACCCCGCACAGAATATACTTCAACAATCAAAATGGCCCCAAAAATCCTCATCGTCCTCACATCGCAGGATAAAATTCCCGCCACTGGTAAACCTACCGGTTGGTACTTGGTATGAACACAATTCCGCTCATCTCATATCATAATGTAATGTATTGAGTTCTGACGCTAACTTGTGACAGCCCGAATTGGCCCATCCCTACGACATCCTCAAGGGTAAAGCTGAGCTTGTCTTCGCCTCGCCAAAGGGAGGGCTTGCTCCACTAGACCCTGGCTCAGTTGAGGCCTTCGCCAACGATGCCGTAGCTGCCGCCTTTGTGAAGGAGAAGGAGCCTATCTGGCGCAACACCGTGAAGCTCTCTGAAGTCAAAGCCAGTGATTTCGACGCCATCTTCTACGTTGGTGGCCACGGACGTAAGTCGTTGCACGTCCCCGTGTCCCATTCCTCCTCTAATTTCATTCTCCTCCAACTCCCAGGCTCGCTTGCTAATCTCTTATAATATTTAGCCCTATTTGATCTATACGAAGACCCGGACTCCCTCCGTCTCATTAAGGAATTCGCTGAATCGAAGAAAATCGTATCCGCCGTGTGCCATGCCCCTGCCGTCTTCCTAAAAGCAACCGCCGGCGGGAAGCCTATCGTTGCGGACGCGCAGGTGACTGGGTTTTCGAACGCGGAGGAGGATCAAATCAAGATGTCACAACACCTGCCATATCTACTTGAAACCGAGCTGAAGAAGCTGAATGGGAAATATGTCAAGGCTGACGAACCTTGGGGAGAAAAAGTTGTTGTGGACAAGGTGGAAGCCACTGGTGCTCCTCTAATCACTGGACAGAACCCCGCTAGTGCAGGTGGCGTGGGGAAGGAGATTCTTAAGGCTCTGGGGTTGTAAAATGTTTTGCTCAGTGGTGGTGGTTAAATGACTTTTTATGCTTTTCGTTTCATTGATTCATAAATATAAAATAATAAATAATACGTAATATATTTGTAACAACTGGGAGTTCAATTTGTGTTAGAAGTTCTCCAGAGCCATAAAATCCCCAAAAAGGGGGTCAATTAGAGCTACATACATACAAATTGCAGCCGCTATCTGAATCAAGGCGCCTACTAGTAGGCATATGCTCTGCACATTACTAACATGAGAAATATCAAGAATTCTGACGTCTCTTTGAAAGGCCGCCATGTCAAATCGAGATGCTGGTCAGATAACGCTCTGATCTCTAGAATAGAGAACTGAGCCGCATACTATACTCCGTTCTATCTTAGGCTTAGTTCAACTGCATCTCGTTGACTAACCTATAGGCGTGTTTCCCTTCCATTGTATGCTATTTCCCCCTGTACAAACGGTATGTTTATATCAATTGTATGTAAATCGAATAGGGTTCCGACTGAGCTAAGCGATGATGAGCTGACGGACCTCGGCACAAGCAACATCGGAATCTCCGCCGGCTTTAGCCCTAGCTGACCATGACAAAACCTCAAGATGGAGTCCATTGCCCGCTCTTGCGGATTCCTCTGTCTTCATCTGGGGGAGCTGGGATAGTGAAATACCAATACATGCCATCTTGTAGTGTCCGGAGCACTCGCCTCAGTTTGATCCACTCGAAACCATGATCGCCGGGCCGTTTAAGGTGATTGAGCATACTGCACCCTGCCAGCATATCAGGGAGTATCCGCGGGCAATTGCTACAGAACAGGAAGAGACCCTGTGGTTATCTGTCAAGCAGTATGTGCCAACCGATAACCCTAACCCGAAGCCTGGGGATATAACCATCATCGGAGCTCATGCGAATGGCTTCCCGAAGGTTCGTCCTCTCATTTCACCCCCCTATCCCCCGTGCGCCTGCTTGCACTACTCCGCTCAACTGCTTTGGATGAAATGTTTTCCCATCTGACTATGTGAAATGACAGGAACTATATGAGCCGCTATGGGAGGAGCTCCTTTCGCGCGCAAAGCGCCATGGCTTCGGCATTAGGGGCATCTGGATTGCAGACGTAGCGCATCAGGGCAACAGCGGCGTGTTGAATGAGAACGTACTGGGAAATGACCGTATGTTCTGCTCGTCCTACCTATTCCAGTTTTTTTTTCTATATTACAGGAATAAGGAGCAAAAATAGCTGATATCCCCGTGTCCGGGAATGGCAGCTTCGTGGTTCGATCACCCCAGAGATCTGCTACATTTCATCAACCTGAATCGAGCAGAAATGCCCCGTCCACTCTTTGGTATCGGCCACAGTATGGGCGGTAACAACCTGTTCGTCACCTCCGTATAGCCTGTCCCCCCTTCAATTACTGCTAACCAAAGTTCCTCCCGGTCCTCAGAATAAACCTTGCTCTATTACACCCTCGGCTCCTCACCTCCCTCATCCTCATGGACCCTGTCCTCAATGGACTCGAAGTAACCCAACAACACCATACCTTCCACACGAAAACCACCACAATCCCCACCACAACCGCAGCTTCCAGCTACCGGCGTGATATCTGGCCCTCGCGCGCCGCCGCAGCAGAATCTGTCAAGAAAAGCAAGTTCTACCAGGCATGGGACCACCGCGTCCTCGACCGTTGGATCCAATACGGTCTCCGTGAACTCCCCACGGCGATCTACCCTCTACCACCAACACCAGCATCGCCATCGCCATCTACAGCATCTCCACAAACAACCGAAAACGCAACAAAACCCGTAACCCTCACCACAACCCGCCACCAAGAAGTCTTCACCTTCTCCCGCCCAAATTTCACCCCGCCCAACACAAAGCCATTAAACAGACTTACGCACCCCGATCTCTTCCCCGGCATAACATCCGCATACCCCTTCTACCGGCCCGAAACCGCCTTAACTTTCGCCCGCCTCCCCAATCTCCGCCCGTCAGTCCTCTACGTCTTCGCGGACAAGTCAGACATGTGTCTCCCCCAGTTCTGCAAGGATAAGCTAGACAATACGGGCATTGGTGTGGGGGGCAGCGGCGGGTTGGCGGAGGGCCGTGTCACATCCGTCATGCTGCATGATGTGGGGCATCTAATTCCGATGGAGGCGGTGGGAGAGACGGCGGACCATGCGGCTGAGTGGATTGGGAGGGAGATGGAGAGGTGGCGGAGGGAGGAGGAGGAGTTTAGGAAAGTGTGGGGGAAGATGTCGAGGATTGAGAAGGTGATGATTGATGAGGAGTGGAAGAGACTTGTTAAGCCGCCGGTTAGGAATAATCGGAGAAATGGGGGGGTGAAGTTGTGAGGTGGAGATGGGATGGGGTTGGTCTATTCTGTTATAAATATATATATATAGAATTTTTTGGTATTGAAGGCCTTGGCTTATGTTTTGTTAGCTCTTGGAGGTTTATGTTTGATTTTGGTCTTTTGAATAGTGAACCGCGTGATGTAGATAGATACATTTCCTATTCATCGATATAAATTTACAAGAGTTATTCTAATGTCCTCGAATATTCGCAATTTCCCCATCCGCAGCAAAAGGAGTAAGGCCGTAATTTAGATACTCCAAAGCTGATGCACCGCCAAAAAAAAAAAGAAAAGAAACTATATATCAGTACACACGAAAGGTCTAGTACAGGATAAAAGGAAATAAAGAGGGGAGGCGAAAAAAAATGGAAAGGAAAGGAAATCTGATGCCAGATCATCGCTGCACTAACAAAGTACACCAACCCTGTCTAATATAGATGTATCATATATCACAAAACATACGTCTACATAATATAGACGAATGCAAAACAGCAAGGTTTGCGCCTTCAAAATAACTACCTCCAAATACATGTATACGTATATACGTAGAAAAAAAACTAGGAAATGGGGACAGAGCAGAAAGCCAGGAAAGTCCTAATTGATCTTTTCCGGCATTCCATTTTGGTAGGGCTTATGCGCTTTGGCCGAACCATTTGTGCCTCTCTTGTCATGATCAGGAACGCGAACGATGTCCGGAAAGTTATAGATGCGGGGCCAGACCAGTTGATATTCTTCCTGGCGACCATTTAGACAGTGGCGTAGCCAGATGCCCCAGATAATGTACATGTAGGCGCCGGTGCCGGTCATGAGATGCCTGATTTTATTTTGGCGGTTAGTGGGTGAAAGCCATGTGAGTTATTCTCTCTCGATAATTTTTTTCTCTCTTTTTGCCAGGTTAATTATTAACGTACCACCAGCCATGGCCCTCCAGTAAGATGCCCCAAGGCAACCCAATCTGCCTCCGCCACCCTCGCAAGCGGGAGCAGAACACATTATCGAGATTCCAAATCGCGAAGCCGCCCAAGAACGTAGCGAGACCATAAGCCACCATGACCCACATGGTATGTAGAATCTTCAAATCACGTTCGTCTTCATAGATCTGGCGCGATTGGTGGCGTTCCTTGCCCTTGTTGCGCCGCGAGGGCCGCAGCGCAGTCTCCATCACCCACATGCTGCGTATGAGAACAACAGCCGTGAGCAGGGCATAAGCATTCTGGTGGAAGATTGGATTTTGGATGTAGTGGTAGTATAGAGTGATGAAAATAGCAAGGCCCAGGAGGGATAGTGCGAGGACTATACGGGTTTTGGTAGATTTGGCATAGGTAAATGTGGCGTAGCAGACTAAGCAGGTTGTGTAGATCATGGAAAGTTCATCAACGAGTTGCATCGGGTCTATCGGAATTTATTAGCTACAAATTTTCATGGACACTTGGAGCAAAGGAGCCTGTAAAGATATATATAATAATCGTCCCCTTTGACGTACATTTCAATGTAGAGTGGAAGAGGAAGCTACCAAATCCGACGATTAGGTAACCAAGGAAGGCAATCTGGAAAATCGAGTCGTGGCCATTCCTTCTGCAACTTAGGACGCCTTTGATGCCTAGCCAGAGGAATAGACAATTCGTGAGCGCATTCACAAACTCAGCGAGATAGTAGCTCGCATAGTAATCCTAATAAGTGTCACCGGAGTTAAAAAAAAACCTGGATCTCTTGGAAGCATGTGATCGAGGAAGAAAGCATACGACATACCTCTTCGCACCAGTTCAGCGTTGAAGTAATAGGAGCCCAGTACCCAGCCTGGGAAGGCGGATATGGAAAAAAGGGAGGCTTCCACATAGAAGGCTACAGAGAGTGTCTATAAAAGAGTGGTTTCGGCAAAGGCGGTTGAGGATGATGGCTATGCGCAGGGGGGGTTTGTTGCAACAGCGAGAGACAAGCACCTCATACCATGACCCAACGGCGGATGGAAGCGGGCGGAATAGGATAATATCTGTCAAGGAATATGCTCCGACATATGTGAGTGTCTTTAAGGGAAGAGAGAAAAAAAAAAAAAAGAAAAAAAAAAAAAGAGGACGAGGAAAGAGGAAGTGCGATCTTCAACTGAAGCTGTGACGTAGGCTCCGCAGGGTTTTAGATCTGGGTGGTGACCAGTGGGGTTAATCAAGCACCTATGTAGGCGGTAGCTCTGTACATGTACATTACCACTGGCACAGATACAGACGAGAATGGACTGGGGATGACATTGACAGCGAGTCCAGAGCAGGAGAGCAGGAGAAGAGGAGAAAAGGAGAATATCCGTTCCCCACGTATACTCTTTCCGCCCACACGGATTCCCGGCAGGGCGGGTTAGTCAGCGCGAACTGATCGCCGCCTTTTGAACCCTGTTAACAGGAAGCAGAAAACTTTGTTGGGGGTCCCGCGGTTGGTCGGCCCTTCTACCAGCAGGCGCTGGTGGTGATTGAGCTCTTTTGCCCCAGTAGCCTACAGATTACAACAAGTTTTCTGCTTCCTGCAACACAACAACGTTATTGTCAGGAAAAAGAAGTTATACACTACTGAACGCCACCAACATCGTATTACTACAATATTTCTCATCATCATCAGCTTACTACAACACTCATCTAATACTCACTTATGCTAGCTCTCTTGGCTCGCACATATATTTTACTATAAATAGCTCCATCTTTTGTATGAAATAGATATATTAGATAGTGTACAGATAATATAACAAGCAGATCTTGATACAGATAAGATTTATATGTCTTTAACATATTCATCTGTGACACTCAATTCAACAGTTATGAGCCCAGTAAGCAGCATCTGAAGAGAAGTGCAATACACTGATCTCAATTCTCATTTGAATTTGACAACAATCATTTGAACTGAGACAATTGATTCTCATTCATATACAGTTCAATCAACTCAATCATTATATCATATTCAATTCCTGTCCTCATTTGAACTGATAACTATCATTTGAACTGAGATAATAGATTCTCACTTGTATATGTTCTGAAATACTCAACTGATATACACTCTGAATTCTGATCATATTCACAAATACTTGAACTGATTTCTTAATTCATTCAATATAACTGATATGACAGATAAGACAATGTCTAGTATAACAGTTTATCTTAGTATTTCTGAAGATTGAAAACTTTGATACAAGTATATGCTAGAATATGCAAAGAACAAGAAGATATCAGACTTCATCAATCTTGATAAACCTGATATCTTCTCTGAATTAGAAGAATCTCTGAAACCTGAGTGTTCAGAAGAAATCACTGCAGAGACTAAGATAGTATATAATATCAAGATCACTGTGTGAAAAATCAAATATATGAAATATGAGAAATTGAATGAAGATATGACAAAGATATAAGATGTTATATAAAGAACAGTGAATGTCACAGAGCTACAACATGTATGCAGCAAGAATGATAATATGAAGAAGATTATTCATTTATTAAGAGATTGACTCTCATTCACAACTGTGAATTATCAAGATAATGTAAGAACTCAATATCATGATCTCTGCAAAGCACTGAAAAACAGAGATATAGAAAACTGATTAAATAACTGATCACTCATTGAAAATGATATCAAAGAGATGAATATAGCTGAACAGTTTAACTTGAAAAAAGACTTCTTAAATGTGAATCTAGCTATTAATACAGAATATGTATAAGCATGAATAAAGAATATCTGATGTGATAAAGATATCATATCTTTGATAGAGTTAGTTAAGAACTTTAAGAAACAGTATAGAGAAATGAGTATTCTCAAAGAAGATAAATCTATGAACTTCACTATTCTTAATGAAAGATCTCAGTAATTATTATCAGTGATATTCAGAAACTGCATCTGTAAAGCCTGTCACTGATATACTCAGTGCTACTATCTCAATTCATTAAGAAAGTCATCTGAATAAAAGAAAAATGAAAAGAAGAGAACTCAGATCAATCAAGCTCTTAAAAATCAAGAATTGAAGAGATGCATTGATCATGTGATATCTAGAGATTCATTCATAAATATGAATATAATAGATGTTAATGAAGCAGTTATAGAAGAAATAATTCTGAAGTAATCAGTTTCTCAATCTATTAATCATTAATCTATCAATCAGTAAATCTGAAAAATATTGATAAACTCTTCACATTCTCACTTCTATCTCTGAAACTTCTAAATCTTTGATACTGGCATGAAACAGCATATTGTGGTTCGGAAGAACGTACAACCGTCGGATAATAACACGGCCGCTTCCGAACTACTAGCATACGCGTACAAATGTAAAGGGGCTATAGCAGCCGCTAATTAAATTAGTGTATAATATTACAATATATAAGAAGCCAGTGTATGCCTGTAATCATACACTGACTTAAGCAACCTTTGAATCACATCTGATAGCATGTCTAAAAACTGGTGAGAAGTGCAGACTTCTTCAGAGTGTGATAATTTCATTTACAAAGTAATTTATAGTTATTATATCAGTGTGGTTCTAGAACATCTCAAAAGATAGTATATAAAGAACAGTGAGTGAAAAAGCATCTGATTAATACTGCTTCACTTGTTAAAGAAAAACTTCACACTCAGATGAATGCCATGTATGTGAACAGATAAGATGTGAGAAAGAGAATGAGAGTGATGAATCAGATTCAAAGAAGTCTGCTCTCTACTCAAAAGAGAGATAAAGAGAAAAGTGATCATCACTGAAGTTATACAATAATAACAGAAATCATAGAATGATATAATAATACAGTGATATAACAATAGACATTGTATAATTAACAAGAAATCACTGAAATGAATATCTTCTCTAGTCAATATAAACAACACTCTTCTCTGCTATCTGAACTGAAAGATATGCAGAATCTCTTAGAGAAATTACTCAAAACAGTAAGAAAAGTAGCTGAGATCACTGAACTGAAATTGAAGCTCTGTACATGTATAAGAATTCTAAATGAGATTGAGACCTTGTATACACAGTGACAGACTGAGATGAAAGTCAAACAACAATTGACATTCACTGTGAATTAAGTATTCACTATGAAGAGCTTCACTGACACAATTATCACTATCAATAAGAATAGAGAAAACCAGATCTTAGGCCTGTAGCAGAAGATTGAATGTTTATACAGACAGATAACTACACTGAATCTGAAGATCTTATCACAATTATTCATAATCTCTTCAGAAGTATACACATCATCAAAGAT